CAGTCAGAGCTGTAGTTCACATCTGTAGGGAGAAAACAATAAAAAACAAAGATAAACTGGAGTTGACACTGGCCACTGTGGTGTCAGACAACAACAACAGCAGCAAAAGTATGTCAATAGCAAGAGGAGGTCTAAGGGAAGCATTGGACTAATACATCACACAGATGATGACCTAACAAGTAAGGAAGAGGAAAAAAAAACTAGGTTTTTAATGTTTTTTGTTTGTTTGTTTGTTTTTGCCTGATTTTTAATATTAATGACAAATCTTGGGCTGCCTTGTACTCACAGTGTAACAGTGTAAGGAACCAGCTGTGTCAGCTGAATGTTCGTAAGTCTGTGGGCCTGAAGGGATTCACCCCAGAGTACTGATGGGTACTAAAGCTGGACCCCTCCCTCTCAACGATTTACCAATGGTAAATTGGGAGTCTGTGGAGATCGCTGCTAACTGGAGGCTAAACAGTGTTATACCCATTTACAAAAATGGTGTAAGAGAAGACACAGGAGACTGCAGACTTCTTAGTTTGACCTCAGTGCCTGGAAAAGTCACTGAAAAAGGTTGTCCTGGGTGGTATGGAAAGGCATTTAAAGAACAAAGCAATTATCAGGAATGGTCAACCATGGGTTCATGAAGGTTAAGTCCCATCTTGGTAATTTGATCTTCTTCTACGATAAGGTCACCTGCTTAGAAGCTGAGGAGAAGACTGCAGACATAATCTTTCCAGAATTTAGTAAGACCTTTGATAGTGTCCCTCATGGAATCCTCCCAGTCAAATTGTCCAGATGTGAGATAAACAGGTTCATGATTTGCTGGGTGGCGAATTGGTTCAATGGTAGAGCTTAAAGGGCAAGCTTGTAGCAAATGGCGCTACACCTGGCTAGTGGCCAGTCTCTAGTGGTGTTTCCTAGGGCTCAATTCTAGGGCCAGTTCTGTTCCACATTGTTATCAATGATCTGGATGCAGGAGTGGAATGCATCCTCAACAATCTCGTTATGATTCTAAATTATAAGGGCTTGTTTACTCCCTGGAGGGACAAGAGGCCTTTCAGAGGGATCCAGATGGATTGAAGCATTTGGCAATCAGCAACAGCAGGAAGTTCAATGAAGGAAAATGATGGGTACTGCACCTGGGCTGGAGTAATGCCAGACTAAGACTTCCATGACAGGTACAGACTACGAGGTGAGTGGCTGCAGGAGCTCAGGAGGAAGGGACCTGGAGGTACTGGTGACAGCATGCTCAGCATGAGCCAGCAGTGTGCTCTGGCAGCCAAGAAAGCAAGATGCATTTTAGAGTACATTAAATAGAAAATAGCCCACCTGGTCATAAGAGGTGTTTCTTAACATCAGTGTACTGGCCTCATGTGTCAAGGTTTTGGTAGTGGGGGGCTGCAGAAGTGGCCTCTGTAAGAAAAGTCCAGAAGCTGCCCCATGTTAGATAAGAGACATTTTCAGCCAGCTAAAAAGGGACCCACCACTCCCCAGAGCTGAGCCAGTGAGTGATGTTGGCTGTGCTTCTGTGAGAGCAGATTTAAGATTAAAAAAATGTTGGGCAACAGCAGCTGAGAGAGAGGAGTGAGAAAAATGTAGAGAGAAATAACAGTGCAGACACCAAGGTCTGTGAAGAAGGAGGGGAAGGAGGTGCTGCAGGTACAACAGTTTCCCCACAGCCCATGTAGAGGACTGTGCTGGAGCAGGTTGTCCCTCTGTTGCCCATGGTAACACAGAGGAGCAGATCTCTGCAGCCCATGGAGCAGCACCCAGTGGAGCAGGTGGATGTGGCCTGAAGGTCGCAGTAGCCCATGGACAGCCCCTGCAGGAGCAAGCCATGGGGCAGAGCTGCAGCCTGTGAAGAGGATCCCATGGTTGAGCAGAAAGGTCTGGCAGGAGGTCTTGTATGTGGGGGACCCATGGTGGAGTGCATTCCTGAAGGACAGACTCCATGGTATGGGCCCATAGTGGAACAGTTTTTGAAGAACTGCAGCCTGTGTGAAACCCATATAGGATCAGTTTAAGAAGAATTTCATCCTATGGGAGGGACCCCATGCTGGAGAAGGGGAACCATCTGAATCACCATGAAGGATCAGCAGATGATGCAGTACTATGTGCAACCCTCATTTACCATTGCAGTGCAATGGTAAATTTACCATTTACCATATGCAGTGCAACCCCCATTTACCATTCCCCTGCACTGTTTGGGGAGAGGAAGTAGAAGAGAGGGCGGGGGGGGGGGAGGGGGGAGGGATGTGTTTTTAGTTTGCTTTTAGTTTCTCAGTGCTCTAGTCTGTTAGTAATAGGCAAAAATTACATTAATCTCCCTACACTGACTTGATTTTGCCTGTGAAAATACTTGTTGAGTGATCTCCCTGTCCTTATCTCAATCCTTGAGCCCTTTTCATCACATTTTCTCCCCTTCTTCCTTTGAGGAGGGGAACAAAGATTATTATACTCTGGTGGAGTTTAGCTAGCCATCAGTGTGAAACCACTACAGTTGGTGTGACTTCTTCCTAAATATCATGTACAGTTCTGGGCTCCACAGTATAAAAAGGATATCAGGGTGTTCAAAGGCATCCAGAGAGGAGGGCAACAAAGCTGGTAAAAGGGCTGGAAGGCACGTAATGCAAGGAGACGCTGAGGACACTCAGGTCATCTAGTCTGGAGAAAAGAAGGCTGAGAGGCAACCTCATTGCTCTCTGCAGATTCAAGAGGAGAAGAATTAGAAAGGGAGGTGCTGATCTCTTCTCCCTGGTAACCAAAGACAGGATGTGCATGAATGACACAAAGCTGAACCAGGGGATGTTCAGGCTGGATATCAGGAAAAATTTATTTACTGTGAGGATGGTCAAACACTGGAACAAGCTTCCTAGAGAGGTGGAGATGATGCCCCATGCATTTCAGTGTTTGAGAGAAAATTGTACAATGCCCTTAATAACATGATTTAACTTTTGCTTATCCATGAAGTGGTCAGGCAGTTGGGTTTGATGATCTCCAAAGTTCCCTTCCAATGGAACTGGTCTGTTCTATACACAATTTCTTTCATTCACAAGTTATTCACTTTTAGTAATTGAAAAGACAAGCACACAAACTGCCAATAACACAGTTATTTTCTCCAAAAGTGTAAAATTTTAGTGAAAGATCATAGATCAAAGGAAAATTGCTATTAAGCCAAGTTGGTTGGAAAAAAAAACAATAAAACTTGACCAAATTCAGAATCAGTGTCTTTCAGCACACAAAACTTACACTATGATGAATCACAGCAATAAAATTGTAATTAACTCCATGCAATAGGCATGTTTTCAAGTGTTTTTGTTTTTCTGTTCAGGACATAGTAGTAGAACTCATCTGCAGTTATGCTAAAACAAGAGGAACTTTCTGTTTACCTGTCATTGTCTACTGAGCTTATGAAGTGTGATGTATGTGTATACACCATGGTGTTAGGTTTATATGTTAGGATTTGGCAGTGGGCTGGAACAGGGGGCTGCAGGGGCTGCCCCCTATTGGACAAAGAATGTTCCAGCCAGCACCAAAAGGGACTGCTGTACAAAGTTGAACCCATCAGACACATGGTGGCACCTCTGTGATGATATATCTAAAAAAGGCTAAAAAAATGCTGTATGGCAGTACCTGAGAGACAGAAATGAGAAAATGTAAAGCAAAATATCCCTACAGACACAAAGCTTAGAGAAGTGCTTGGAGAGGAGATGAGCCAAGCACAGATTCTCCTTCAGCCTGTGGAAAAGACCGTGATAAAACAGGCTGTCCACCTGCAGCCTACAGAGGACCACTTTTACGCAGATATCTATACTGTCTTTTCTCAACCCATGAGTTTTTTTCATCATATTTTCTCTCCCTGTTCTTCTGAGGAAGGGAGTGAGAGGAGCCAGCTGACCCACCTCAACCCTCTTCCCCTTAGGCAGAGCTACTTGAGAAATTCTGTGACAAAAAATAATTCTTTCTTTCTTTGAATAAAAATACAGGCAGTAATAGTCTACTAGACCTAAGAGTAAAATAAAAATCTGACCTACTGTATGCAAATACCTTTACAATTTCCATGACATGATTCTTACAACAAATTTTTAAGGAAAATATTAACGTGGACTTAAAGAGTGCTAGTAACAGAGGACTTATCAGAGTAGTTTGCTAATTTTCCAGTGGTTTCTCTTGCTAAAAAACAGGTCTTTTGTTCCTAGTTTGAAACTGTGTGAATTCAAGTTTTGGTCTTCTGCCTTACATTTATCTGTTTCAATTAAAAAATAAATAAATCTTATTTCTAGATAGATTTTCCATTGATAAACATTGGCAAGCAAATGGAATTGTTCACTGTTTAATGAACCTTAAAATGAATGTTCTCTATTCATTCTATTGGTTTCCTTCTAAATGTTCCAAAATTTATCTGTATCTCCCTTCATACCAGAAGACTAGAAGTGGTACATATTCTTTCAAGTAAGATCATCAGCAATGTTAAATAAGTAGTAATACAGCTCCTCTAAACAGGTATCTTTTGCTTCTATACACAACAATTTTGACACTGGGATTTTCACTGAGAAGTCATGTTTAGTTAATTACATTTCAACCTTTGTTTTGTTGTGGGGTTTATGTTTGTTGTTGTTGTAGTTGTTGTTGTTTAGTTATAAACTCTTAAAATGGGTATCTCTATTCTATAAACACAGCTGCTGTGATTTCCATGCCGTGATTTTCAGGTCATGTTAGGCAACAACAGAACTCTACAAATAGAATTTCAACCAATGCCAAATCAGACATCTTACAGAAGTTTATTGCATTGATATCAATATCTAATCAACCATATTTATAATTTCACTAAAGGAAAGATCGGTAGCTTAGTTTCAGAGAACTGGATTTCTATAAGCCCACTTTGATTACCACTACTCTATCACACTTCGATTCCTCCTTAATAAAAATCTGTTTCAGATCTTACATTATTCTGTTTCAGATAAATGTCAGGTTGACAGACCTATAATTACCTGAACCATCTATCTTACTCTTTGCAAAAAAGTGACAAAACAGTTTTACTGCATTTTTTTTTTTTTTGAAACTTTTTAATTGCTCCAGGACTTGCTTAAAATCAGAATTAGCACTTAGAGACCAACTGCAGAGGGATTCATTTTGGGTAGTAATATTACTGCTGGAGTTTGTGACTTAAATAAATAACACATCTATTATTTACATGTTCTCTTCTTTCAGAAGATCTAATACTAAAAAAGTTATAAAGGAAAGAAGACATTGAAAACAGTATTTTTTAAAATAGAAGCCTTGGGGAGAACAACCTTTGTTGCTCTGCTTTTTAAATATTACTGACTCAAGCAGCACACTACTGCACAAAACCAGACATAGCTCAGATGTAATAAAAAAGCAAATACACTCTAAATATAATTTGCCCTAATTGCACTCATAAAAGTTTAGGATTATTTAATTTTTAAGATTTGAGACTAAATTCTCAAAGTCTCAAGTCTTTTTAGATTAAAAAGTATAGATTTATTAGACTAAAAACATGTAAAACTAGATTTCTGAAACTCTACAGTATATACACTTACATACGCTTATATATAAACAGATTATTAAACAGCAAGCAACATAATATTTTTTCCAGCTAACTCATTCTTATACATCTTATGCCTAGACCTCACTTAAAGATACAATAGATCACATTCAGTTTCTAAATTAATCCTTCTCTCTTGTAAAATCCAATAATTTTTAGCATGTTTCACTGTTTCAGCTACAACATCCTGGAGGCATCTATGCACAGGTACACTTTATTACTATAAGTATTTACTTTCATCAGTACTATGTTTAGCACCTGTTGCAGTGGACACAAAGAATAAACGTGTTGATTTAAAAGGTGAAACAGCATCTTATGATGGCTCTACCACTCTTTGTTTTATTTGTAGTAACTGGGAGCAACGATAATAACAAATAAAAAAATCCATGATGATTTTGAAGTGTTTCTGGAAGTCTATGATTTCAGGGTTTTCTATTCATGTAGATAAAAATAGAAATATTCTGATATCCACTAGTAATTTAGAGATTTTTGATCTTCAGAGCTGAAGACTGAGTAATACTTTTGTAGTGTAGGAAGGAGCAGAATCTGTGAAAAGAGAAAAAAAGAATACATCTCAAATTCAGTTATATAATCAATCACAAACAAATTGAACCTTTAGCTAGAAACAGCTAAGTTTGTTTTTGTTTCAAAGTTACTCTACAGATATAGTTACATTACATACCCGTGAAATGTGGAGTCATTTCACAGGTATGTAAATAAAACTCTACCGCTACACATTAAATGAGTAACTCTAAGTTAAAGTAATTACCTTAGCATCCCTCCATTTCTTCTATTCATTTTAACCACTGTTGCTACCATTACCAGAATCTGACACTTCATAGCAGGTTTCACTTTAGAAGTAGGTGGCTTGAATTATCAAGTGTTCAGTTTATGGGCGTTAAGGAACAAAAATCAAGTATCAGAACATGAAACGTATTCTTCAGACACACCCTGTGGAATTTCTCTAAGTTTTTATTTTTAATTAAAAAAAAAAAAAATCTTACAGTACTACTATACAAATCACTTACATGAAACACAAGGAATGAAAAAAGATATATAAGATTCATTCTAAAACAAAGAAAAAAAAAAGTCTAATTTCTATACATACATTCTCAAAGAGATTTAAACAGCTTTTGTGGGTATTTTGGCTCACAGGAAATAGTCGTTTTATTTCCTAAAATATATTAGTAAACAAGACTTAACAGACTGTTATTTAATTACAGCAAATAGGATAGCAAAATAAAGTAATAAGCAAACTTTCAGGTTCTGAGTAATAAAGACAAAAGAAGTGGTTTTAGTACATTAATTTTACAGTGGTAAAAGCAATTAGTACTTAGTTATTAGTGGTAAACAATTAGTACTTTGATACAAATTCACAGTTAAAGAATGCTCTATCAAAGTAAAGAGCATTTTATTTATACATTGTGTTCCTTCTTGAAGAGGAAAAGCGCCTCTTTAGGTGCTTCAAATCACTGATGATAATCACAGGAGGCGTAAGTAAATCTGGAGAATAATAATCACTGCATATGTTAGCATTGAAATAAACTTAATGCATATACAAACACACCATAAAGTTTTGATACATTTGTTCAATTCCAAATGACAGAAATTTTTAACAGAACACATATCGAAATTTTCTCTTTTAGTATTATTCAAAACCACAAAAGAAAATTATAGTTCAGAGGAGTATTGCTTGTACTTTTAAAAACTAATCTTCCCAAATATTTATATTCTAAGATAGTAACATGTCTACTGGAAGTCAACGCATACCCCTTTCTCTTAGGTCTTCAATGTAGGCTTTCATAAACTCTTTTTCAAATTGCTCCCGTTCACGTTCACTTTCTATAATTTCTTCAGTGTCTTCACATACAATAGTTTCAACTGGGCTGTCCTTGAGACTTATAAATCTAAAGAGAGAATGTAATGCAAAAATATATGCAACAGGTTTCTGAATATCACTGGGCAACATGAATGTCATTTTGGAAGTTACTACTACAGCCAAAAGAAAAAACATAAGGAACATTTGGTCTTTTTTTTTTTTCCTCCTCTATTAGAGCTTTCTTAAGGACAATCTATAATCTGTCTCAGTCATTAAATATTTCAAAAAACACCTTCTGCATATTTCACTTTCCATATGAAAATTATTAGATTTATCTTTTTGTTTTCACCTATTTACCTAAATAATTATTTGCAATGACATGTTTTGTTTTGTTTTGTTTTGTTGTTATGGGATTTCTGACAGATAACACCAATTTCAAATCTGTTAATGAACATTATGAACTCCATCCTAACTCAACCAATTGGTGAGCAATTTGAAAATTTTGCAAGTATCACTTAGTTGATATGTTTTAATTTTGTTTTGTTGTTATTTCTCTTTTACAATGGATTCTTTGACATACATTAATTTATATTTTCAAATTTCCTAAAGCCACATGTTGTAGGTGAAAAACTAGGTGTCTATATAAACAACTCATATAATGCTCAAATTAAATGCAAAGTATTAAAAAAAGTCTCCATAAAACACTTTCAAAAGATATTTTTTCAGACTAATCATACGGCTTGTTAATATCTCACAATTTTTTTCTGTTAGTCTCCAATGTTTTCCTAATGAAAGACCTGAACATCTCCTGCAGAAATGCAGGAACACAGTAATTACAGACAAAAATACTTTTTACTCCTGTCCAGGACTAAAGTTTTGCAGCAACAAAATTCTGTTTTGTAGCAAAGTGTGTATGAACTACTAAATTTATGTGATACTACTTAAGCTTTTAACTAGCTGTGTTTGTCAGGACACTTTTGATAGTGACACTGAACTTTTCAACTGCCTAACTACTGATTCCATTCTATAAGAAATATTTGACTCCAGAATTAAGGCTGCTCTTTCCAAGTACACACAGTAGCAGTTTAGACTTACAGATGCACAATTAGAGGCATGGAAGATGAAAATCAGAAACCTGTGGCTCCTCTTTGCAATTCCCAATATCTCTAATGTGTCCTTAAGGGTTCTGATATCAGTTGTGGCAGAATTTGACCACCCGTGGTAGAAACAGATGCTTGCAAAAGTATTCCAAATGCATCTAACTTATTTTCTTAGGAACATACTTAGTTCTCTCTCACTTTTACTTACTTTAAACCTGTGGTTGACTCACAGATGGCTGTGGGTATCTCAACCAGGTCATCACCACTGACAACTAGCAAACTGAGTTTTGGCATATTAACCAGAGCTCGTGGAAGATAAGTCAATTTGTTTTTCTGTAAGAGAAGTGTCTGCAGTTGATCTAACCTATAAAAAATATGAAAGATAAGGATAACATGAAATATTTATTTCAAACAAGGTCATCTATTTAAAATAGTGCAGATTTAATCTTATTTTAAAAAGTAAAAAATAAAAATAACATGCACAAACTTTGGCTTCCCAAAAATTATTCATATCACAAACATTGTCTTCAACTTTAGTGGAAATTTCCAGCCATGCTTCAACATTATAGATAGGAATAGCGTATCTCTGAAAAACATGCCCAAGACAAAAGATTACAAAAACTACTGCACTTCCATACAGAAGATGTTGACGGAATATGATATAAAGCCTCACCTTGTGTATCCCAGTTCTAATGAAAAATATGGGTCACCATCTCACACTTTTGCCTATATGCTGGTTTCTACAAATTATATGTCTATGCTAGCCAATATATTTGAATCTATTGTTTTTCACTAAGAATTAGTACTGTGGGGAGAAAAAAATAAAAAAATAAAAAAAATAAAAAAAAAAAAAAGAAGACCAGCTCCTGGTCATGCGGCTCTCTCAAGTTTTCCCACTGAAATCAATTTAATGACAATGTTTTTTGGGGGAAGGCTTTCTTTTTCTTTATTTTCCCTGGCTTTCCCTAATGCAAAAGTAATTTGTGGCTCACCATATATTCTGTAGAGTAGACAGAAAACTACAATCATAGCAAACCAATGAAACAAGTTTTTGTCATTTGACCAGAAATTTTTTTCTTAAAAAAAGTGTTCCAGGTTATTGCTGGTCAGGCCTGTATGGTTTGTCTGAATTCAGGGATAGATATTAAGCAGGGCTTCAGTATACTGCCAACTCACCTTTTTTAATCACAGACCACATGGTAATGATTGACATTCTTTGATTATGCAGAATATCAGTCTATATGAGCAGGTGTAGGAATCCTGACATTTTCTAGTCTTTAGGATGCATTTGATCCCAAGAGCTCTCAAAATTCAGAAACTAAAGCCAAATAAAAAACTTACTTTGGGGTGTCTAAACATGATGCTTTAGTATTGAGATTGACAACTCTATTCTAAAGAAAGAAAAGGAAAAAAAAATAAAAGAAAAAAATATCTTAGAGATAAACAAAAATATACGGGTTACAGGTTATAGGGAAAAATTACTGTTAATATGAATAGGTATCCTTCAACAAAATAAATATATCCTCTTAGAAGCTCTGTTAGAGCGTGTTGCAGGAAGCACGGCTGAAAGCACGACAGACACCAGTAGAGTCAGATCATGCTCCTCCATTTTATTGCCTGAATAGCCTAACTTTTATAGTGAACTTAACAGGGGCAGACAGTGTTTCACACAAGACTATTGGTCAAAAGCACTCAGACAAACAACTAGAAGAAAACATCCCCACCTGCAAGAAAACAACCCCCCTTGTGATTAGCAGTCAAGAAAACAATCCCCTTGTGATTAGCAGTCACGTAGATCTTGTCCTTGAAGCCAGCTGCTTTTTCTGAATTCCTCAATTGGGCGATGTGGGAATCATTGTCGTGGGAGCTTCTCATAGTTATTCTGGTAGCTTGGTTTGCTCAGCTACAGCAGGCCATGGGATTTGCTAAGGCCTACTCCTGGTTGCTTAAAGCAAGCTCAGATCAAGCAATTGTTCCACGGACTCATGTCCACGCCCTTTGTGCCAATTCCCAACAAAGCTCTTCTGTATTAATGAAATATCTACTCATACTTGTGGAGTAGAGGGTGGGGGAGGGGGAGGAGGAGAAGGGGAACAGCTTTTCACTGTTGGGATATATTGGGATTTTATATTGGGAATATTTGGATTTTATATTGGGATATTGGGATTTATATAAAGACTTCAGCCCTGCTGTCAGAGAAACCTCTGATCTACAATGTCCCAGAGAAGACTTTTTCCAAAGCATAAAGAAACGTGAATGATGAATGACTTTTCTATGAAGTCTCTTCTTCCCCAGGAATCTCTATTCCCAGATCCATAAACATTTTTTTTTCCTTTTTTAATAAACTTTAATTGATATGTTTTCAGTTAACTTATAGATATGTAGGTTTTTTTTAAATGAAGTTATGACAAGATTTCAGAGTATGTAAATGGGCCCAGGGGTAAGAATAGTACTTTATCAGGCTAGTAAGTCTCATTAAAGGATTTGGAAGGACTTTAAAAAAAAAAAAAAAAAAACAGTTTGGAGAGGTAGGAGAAGAGCATGCATATATGTTTCTGAGTAAGATCTATGTCAGGAGCTGTTGATCACATTTATTTTAATCTTAGCAAGATATTTCTGCTTTGTTGCCAATGTTCCTCAGGTCCTTTAAGTTAAATATGCTTTAGTTCATTTTTTCATCCATCCAATCTAACCTTCTAGGTCACTCCAGAGATAGTGCTGACAACTCCTTATTGTAATTCTCCTTTGCTGAAGGTCACAAGTATGGCCCATGAACTTCCAAATAACATTGTCTGAATATGATGACAAATTATCAAAACTACAGCAGAAAATGTTATTAGTTAACTGAACAGTAGAGTATCCAACTGTACAATCTGCTATCAATGAGCTAGAAAATGTAGTTTCTGCTCTCCAACCCAGTCCATCAATAACAATAGCAAAGCTTATGTGCAAAACTAATGTATTTCCTAATGTGATTTTTTCATGTGATTTTTCATTAATAGTGTCCCTTGGAAGGCTATTACTTTCTAGATTTACTTTATAGTTCATAATCCTGTCCATGAATTAAAACAAAAACTACCTGTCTATGTCTTCTGGGAGATCTCTCAGGTTGTTGCTGCTAATATCCAACCACTGCAAATTAGACATCCGGAGTACACAAATTGGAATAGAAGGGAACTTGTTTGCTGACACGTCCACAACTGTGACTTGTTTCAGGTTACTTAGCTAAAAAGAAGTGGTGCTTTATTTTAGTTACATTTTGCAAATACAATAAATATTTAATTCTTCAAACATCCTTCTTTCTGCCAAAGCACTTAGAAAAATCATAATTGCATGATGTTTTACTCAACTTTTTACCAGCTTTATATCTTAGTCACCAATTGATATGAAAAACTATTTCAGGAATGACTACTTCAAAATGTGTTCATCAGCTATTTTACATCATCATTTTACTGAATGAAATTTCCATTTTGAAAGAAGACATATAGTTTCAGACAACACCAAGACTAGAACAAGACAATGTCTTGGTTCCTACATATATTATATATGAACTAAGTTCCAGTGTGACTAATTACAGTGTCAATAATTAGATGTCAGGTTAACATTCAAAGAAACAGAGATTTTATTACTCCTATCAAAAATACATAGATTGTTTTCTGTTATGCACAGAGAATGTACATTGCTAGGGACACTTCAAACATGAAACTGCCAATTTAAGATGAGAAATATTAGTCCCATGTTTTTCAAAGATCTTTAAAAATACATCTTCCACCCACCAAACTAACCATATAATATGGTGCACTAGAGCTTTTTATCTGAATACTTCTCAAAGGAATTACATTTATGTAATAAACCATTAATGTAATGATGGTTAACTACAAATGTAAAATATAACTTTTTTAATTAATAAATGTGTTAAATAATTCTTTTAGTACTAAATCAATTATTCACACTACCAGCATGAATAAAATCATACATCTTGTTAAAGTGAGTCAAAAGAATATAAATGTTAAACAAACACACGCACACACACACACACACAAAAAAAAAAAAAGGTATTTTACAATGAAAATAGTCTCAGAGCTTCTAGTCAGATGTCAGCATCACTGCCTAGCCTTTCTGCTGATGCAGAAGAGAGTAGCAGAATATGTCAGTGGTCTTTGCCCAAAGGGCTATTTTGTAATGAGGGTGTGTGGCTGGGTGTGTGTGTGGCTGGGTGTGTGGGGAGGTTGTGGGGAGGAGACGTGGAGGGGTGTATTGTACTTCCAAAGTGAAGAAAATGCAGCCAACAGCATAAATAATGGGAAAAAAAAAATATATAGAAAGTAAGAAAGTACATTCTGAATCCTTGAGAAGGGTATTTGTTAGTTTGTTTTGAATCCAGTCCTGGTTTGTTATATTTTATGGCCAAACTTCTATTTACTGCAATATTGCCAAAAATTCATCTGTGATATTTAGTTTGACTCTTGTCAGTTGAAATGGTCATATTGGTGCTGTGATGGAGCCTGTTTGTTTGTTTGTTTTCTCTGTGTTTGTTTGCTTGCTTTTTAACACACATTGCCTCTCTTTGCTGCTAGACCTTAAAATTTGGGAAAATCCAGGGAAATTTACTGAAATTATGAAATGACTTCACTGCTATGTTTGCCTTTCAAAAACATAATAGAGGTTCAGAGTCTCTCTGTCCACCATTACATTAAAACAGCCCTGGTGAGACATTACCGTGGAAATGTCTTGCTCCTGATTCAGAAGAGGTAAGCACACATTTTATACTGACACTTCTTACTTCTAAATTACTTTGTCATTTTGAGAACTGACTACTAGCCATGAACACTCACTCCTCTACTGTAAATTTTCCAGATACTGAATCTTTTTTTCCAAACACGGGAGAACCTCCAGTTGCAGAATATCAGTAACTCTTCTGAATAATACTAAAAAGTAAATGGAGAAAACAATTGGCACCATGTTTACACTGCATTTACTTTGTTTTTTAATATTATTTTCACAATTTAAAATGTGAAGAAAATATTTCAAGTTTCTCTGCACTCAGAACAAGCCACTACTAAACAAGAAAGGTAATAATCTCTAACCACCAAGTGGTAGATTAATGTAAAATAAGCTGACATCATCACTGTTCATCCAGGTTCCTAAACACTTTGCTTTCACATTGTCATCTATCATGCTGTAACATCTCATTAACGATAGGTTAAATGATATTTCTTCAACAACAGCATTTTTTTTATGATTTCTTGAAAGTGCTTTAAATATATATATTAATAATTATATGCATTAAATATAAAAAGAAATATACATATAGCACTATTGCTATATTTTTTTATGAATATTTCTGCCATTTTTCATACAGTCTTGAAAATAGATTGTTTTTATACTTCATTGGATCAAAATTTATATTTTTCAGAATTTTGTGCCCTCCCAAAACTATACTAACAAAATATAAGGTGACAGGCTCTCTTTATATAAAGTTTGGTTTAGTGTGACACAGAATATATGGAGCCATGATTATGCTTTGTAAGCTGCAAGTTTTTTCTTTACTTGCACTTGTTCTTTTAGGGTAATATTTAACAAAACCTGTACATTTTCCATGGTATGTTGAAATCTAATGGAGTTTTTATTTAATCTATCTCTGAAATACTTCCAAAAACCACCTATGATATATGAAGCACTGAAAATTATTGCATCTATGTATTATATTTTCTAAAGAAAACCCTGTGTGTTTTATTTCTTTTTGAAAGACTGATTGATTTTTGCACTTCTTATAACATTTCATTTTCAAACAAGCACGGCCTTCTTATCATTTTTATGTTAGTATTTATTTTTGCTTGATGCTGAATTTTGTTATTTTCCTCTATTATCTGGCTTTTAATCAATCAGTATATAGGCTTCATGCAAGTTCCATTTTAAAAAATAGCCATACTTGATCATCTAGCTACCTAGACCCACTTATTGTGGTCCTTATTTTTAGTCATTGTTGTCATCGTTATTTGACAAACTGCCCCATTTTGCTTATCTTAATAATTTTATTCATAAAAATAATACAGATAACATTGTAGGAGTCCACTGCTTCTCTTTCTCTCTGACAGTTAAACTTTCAGATGAAAGAAAAGGACACCATGTCCTGGGCTGAACAAGTTATTTGATTAATGGGTGTGTTTTTATTTCTGTTCTGCTTTTTGCATGAAAGGGATTTGCTGATAAGGTTGTATGCAAGTTTGTCATGAGTTGCCTACAGCTTAGCATCAACAAACGAAAAGGTGAGAATTCATGTCAAGCCCTACCAAAATATAGTGCAATTTTCAGTTATGTACAAATGTTGTGTAACAGACACGGCTCCCAAACAAACTCAGTATGTGACAAGATATAAAAAGAATTTATACATAAATGTCCATCAATGCACTACCTTGATTTTTCCCAAGCATTTCACATTCAGTGAAGTCAATGAAAAATTTTAACAATTTAGGAGGATCAGATTAACATGTAATGTTGTCCCCCCAAAAGCATAGGCTGGCACTCAATATCTTGGTAGTGTGGTGAAAGCACTACAGTACATATAACCCGAGGTATGAAGTGTATGTTTGACCACTTCGATCTCAAGCATTCAAACCAAATACCCAGGTTTTCTTACACAAAGCAATAGCTATAACCTATTCTATAATTTCATTGGTATTCAATGATCAATGATTGGTATTCATGGTCAACAGGTTGACCATGAGCCAGCAGAGTGCCCTGGTGGCCAAGAAGACCAGTGGGATCCTGATGTGCCATGACGAGTATGGCCAGCAGGTCAAGGGAGACGATCCTCCCCTTCTACTCTGCCCTGGTCAGGCTTCACCTGGAGTACTGTGTCCACTTCTGGGCTCCCCAATACAAAAAAGACAGGGATCTCCCGCAAAGAGTCCAGCGGAGGACCACAAAGATGATACGGGGCCTGGAGCATTTCGCCTCTGAGGAACGGCTGAGAGCTTTCTGTCTGTTCAGCCTTGAGAAAAGAAGACTGAGGGGTGATTTTACCAATATTTATAAATACCTTAAGTGTGGGAGAAAGAGGGATTTAGTCAATCTCTTTTCAGTGGTTTGTGGGGACAAGACAAGGGATAATGGCCAAAAAATGGATCACAGGAAGTTCCACACCAAGAGGCGAAATCATAAAGTCATCTCATCTTCAAATCTCCAAACCTTGTAAATTGAGAACATTAAAAAGAAAAACTAGGCTTCAAATTCAATTACAGGTTTCTCAACATCCTATATGGACCCAACAACTCACTTTGGATGCATACTCTCCCTATGTTTTAATTTAAAAAATGAGAAAAGCAAAAAGAGCAGTGTCAGTATCACATGGCCACTAACTGACCTCTCCAGAATTCTTGGAGAGGAAGTGTCTATTGGATATAACAAAAGAGATTATTAAAGATATATTCTGGTCTTTGACCAAGATATGACCAAATGAATTAATTTCATTACCAGAATAGAGACAAAGTTAAAAGCACATTTCCTTCCCAATATGCAACAGCAATTGAAGAAACACTATTCAAATGGCAATATTTTAATTATGATTCAAACATACACAATACTGTTTTGTCATGACAATACACTCTAGCCTGTGAAGATACATTGTGGTTTCCAAAATATATATATATATACATATAAAATATATATATATACACACACACACATATATATACACATATATATGTATACTAATTTACAATGATTCTGAAATCCAGAGGGAACTACCGTTTGCCAAAGGGGTGCAAAGGGGAAAACAGGCAAAAGAGAAGAAAAGTTTGTTTTATAGATACTGAGAAAATATATACATGTATTATTAACAAATATGGCAAAAAAGAGTTAGAAAACACTAGTTGATCACTTTGTTTTGCATTAATAAAACAGTAATTACTCACTTGGAAAACAATATATATGTATTGTATTTGAAAAGATAATAGATTCATGTAATGTCACAACATAGACAGAAGCAAAATAAATAAGAAAAATAATGCAAGAAAAACATTCAAGTGAAACTGAGAAAGTGATCCTATGCTCATAACTCATTACAGTAGCAACATTTTGATGACCGATATTGATGAAATCATTTCACCTTATGAATATAGGTGCTGGGCAGTGACAAGAGCTTTCTGTGTGAGAGTGAATATATGCAGCCTGATAAACTTGGCAGCGAGTTTTACAGAATGTCAGCAAAAAATTAGCTTGTC